AAAGATATAAAGAGAGTAATTGAAAGTTTTATAAAGTGATGATTAGCTACTTAAATTTCTTTTTATACTAAAGTTGCTATTTTTTTATTTCAAACTCTAGTACTAGTAGATATTTCTTCTCTAATTAGAATTTTATATTTATTATCTACAAAATAAGGCAAGTATATTTTTTATATTTTGATACTAAATAGTGAATATATCTAAAAATTGTATAACAATAGTGAATATCAATATAAGTTTTTCTTAACTATCTAGTTTGTACTATATACTTAATTTAAAAATGTTTAATATATTATACACTTGCTTTATACTAAGAATTTTTTAGACAAAACTGATAAGAAATCTACTAATCAGATGGTATTAAATAATTATCTGAAAGAGGATGCTTATTATATTTATTTTCTAAATATTTAATAATAGATTCACATAGATCATGAATAGAAATAAAACTTAGTAAATAAAGTATATTATTATAATATCTTTTATATACTGAAAGATTATTTTCTTCAAAGTAATATACTAATACATTCTAAAATTTAGCAAACTTAGTTCCTTTAAATCTATTATTTTAATATATATCTATAATAATTTCTAGATCTCTAACTTCAAGTATTATTTGAATTTTTTGATTAATTTCAACAGAATATAAATTATTAAATATATTTAAATTATTAACTAAATCATAATAAAGATATCATAGTATATTTGAAGTAACTTTTATAATTAATTAATACTATTTATAAAAGTAAATAAATAATTTATTTTTATAAACATCAATTTTATAAATTATATAATTAGAAATTTATTTTTGCAAAAATATTTCTTCTTATATATTGTGTAAAGAATTGAGGTAATATTGATTGAGTTTGAATTATTGCTTATGCATTTTTAGTTTCATCTTATAATTCAAAATTTTCAGGAATTTTCTTAATAAAATTTAATATTCCTAAATAATTTCTATAATAATATCAATATAATATAATTACTAAATCAATAACAAGATTTGATAAATAATAAAACTGTTTTTCTTTACTTTTAAATAAAAATTCTTCAAATGATATTATTTTATATTTATCTGCTATTTTAACTTATTCAAAAATTGGAAAATAAATTTCTTGCATATTATCTACTATATATAAAGATTGTATTTCAAGTTTACTATCACTTTTTAGACTATGTACTAGAATAGATAATGATTAGATTATTTGAACTTACTGATTAACTGTTTTTAAATAATTAGTATATGTACTAACTACTAAACAGAACTCTAAAGTTGCAGTTATAATTTTATTCTAACAAGATTTACTTGCCTATAGTTCTAAAGTACAGTCTTCTAATTTACTAATATAAAATTCTAATTCTTTATATTTTAATATAGTTTTGTGATATGACCTATTTTTATAATATAAATTTGTTGATATAATAGTAATTGAAGAAATATTGATAGTATATTAAGACTATACAATTTAAGAGTTTTGTGCTTATCATCTATATAATAAAGAAGTGATACAAGTTTATTAATAAATGATACACCAACTAAATTTTGTTTTCTATATTCCCAACCAAGATTTTTACTATGTAGAAGCTTTAAAAAATCATTATATAACTAATCATTATAATTGTTGAAAGTTTTGGATTAGGTAAAGCTTTTTTAGTAGCAGCATTCATCATTTTATCAAAAACATTAGATTCTGAAGAAATTATACTTGTAATAAGTGTTGATTGTTCATTTTGAATATTTTGAATAGTAAATTTAATATGTAATATATTTTGTTCTTCATATATATATATTTTTAAATTTCTATTTAAACCTGATGCTACTTTATGCTATATATTTGTACTATAAACTTGAATATCAACTTTAACTGTGAAGTCTTCTGAGATATAGTCACTATTCACTTCATAAAGTAGGTCTTCAAAAGTTAAGCTTTTTTCAAATTCAAATAATATAGCTGAAAGAATTATTTTATTATCTCTTATTACAGATATAAATAGAAGAATTATTTTTTTAAATATAAGATTTGGCAAGTTAAAAAAATTTTTTTTCATACTATTAACATTAATTTAACAAGTATACTACATATCAGATATAATATACACAATTACATATGTATAATTTAAATTTCTAACTAATTATAGATAAGCATAATAAGCATAATTAGAAATTGGCATTAAAGATTATCATTATTACTATATTTAGAGACTTAATTAATAATATTTTTTAAGTATAATAATTTGATTCTTTTTATTGGTTACTCTAATTGTTTAATTTTTGAGGGATCCTGAAAGTGCAGAGGAAAATAACGTTAAATGAAGTTTTAAATTTCACCTTACTAGAAAATTAAAGAGAATTACTTACCTACGAGCCCAAACCACTGACCAAAGCCATTTGTAGGTTATAAGAAGTTTTATATAATCAATTGGCTGACTTGCTATTTTCTCCTCATCTTACTATTATTACGCAGAAATCTAGTGACTCATGATAATGTATACCTTGTGACTGTAAGTTATTTATAAGATTTAATTCTTCATAAAAATACAATTATATACAAGTTTAATGACACTAATGCTAACAAATTACAACTATTAAGGTATGACTTACAAATCTATACTATCTAAAACAGAGTCGTCTGTTTAAACATTTTTGATTGGTTGTGTTTAAGATATGATGATTATTGTTACATCATTATAGTATAAAAAATTAATTATCATTATAGTATTGGTATAGGAAAGTAATTATTGTTATAGTATAGGAAATAAATTATATGTTTATGATATCATAACAATTAAGTATTAAATATGTATTTTTGATATCATAATAATTAAGTAAGCATACGCATAAGCTAGATATTTATAATATTATCTGCATTATATAAATTATGTAAGTATGCATTATGATCAAAAATCATAATTTTGGAAAAAAAATTGACATTAAGCATGTTACGATTGAATCACATAATGATTTATAATTGAAAATTACTGTAATTTTACATAATTTTATAGTAAGTTTTAGTAATATAATTTTTGTAAATGATGTAATTTATAAAATATATAATATTAAACAAGTAAATTTTAGTACAATTCAGATATATCTTTAAATCAAGTAGTGCAATAATACTAGTAGAACTTTTGTAAAGCTAACAATTATATATAACATAATTAAAATCACATAAAATCTGGTTTATTAAAATTTATATAAAATTAAGATTGTAACTTTTATAACACAACTCTGTTTGCTAACTATGATTAATAATCATGACTATGTGAAAAAAAAAGGAAAAAAATTTAGTACATTAACAATTGAATTACGTTATGATTGTGATTGTGACATTACTAATAAAGTTGATCTGCAAATTATAATCAAAAAATTGTGATTTTAATAAAAGAATTATTAAATAAGAAACCTTAAATTAGGCATGTTGACAATTAAGTTACAATATTTCTAATAAATTGTTCTATGAGATTAATCATGAAAGAATTATTATAATTAGAATTAATATTGTATAACCAGAATATTATTAAATAAAAAACCTTAGATTAGGCATGTTGATGATTGAGTTATGATATTTCTGATAAATTATTCTGTAAGATCAATTATGAAAGAATTATTATGATTAGAATTAATATTGTATAACCAGAATATTATTAAATAAGAAACCTTAGATTAGGCATGTTGATGATTGAGTTACAATATTTCTAGTAAATTGTTCTGTGAGATCAATTATAAAAGAATTATTATGATTAGAATTAATATTGTATAACCGGAATATTATTAAATAAGAAACCTTAGATTAGGCATGTTGATGATTGAGTTATGATATTTCTGATAAATTATTCTGTGAGATCAATCATGAAAGAATTGTTATAATTAGAATTAATGTTATATAACCAGAATATTCAGCCTCTGATATTTTTTATTTACATAATTTAGTTTGTAATTGCGATAAGTCCTATAGTATCTTAAGAAAAAAAACTGTATTATGATATGACTTATTTATCATGCTATATGTCTGATTTGGTTTAGGATAGCCTAAATCTTCTTTATTTTTTACACATAAATTATTATCATATAATTCTGCTAATATTACTGTATTAGCCAGTTATTACTATGAGAGTTTCTTTATATGTTATTTTTTATAATAATATTTGAGATTTGTGCGAATAATGTAATTTAGTTGATATGTCTAACATATTTAGATATAAGATTTAAAATTTTCATATTGCTTTATTCAGTAAGTTTATTTATTTATATAATATTTGTTCAAGTTATCGATTAGACTAGCCTTTGGTAAATTGTATCATGTATTAAATTATATGACGCTATGGTGAATATGGTTAAGTAATAACTATATCGTGTATGTGTTTTTTTTTTATGTGACTTATTAAACCATGTATGATAATAGTTAATATTATTCTTTATAATCATAAATTCATAGTATGTTGAGTTGCATTTCTTAAATAGGTCTTTAATAAATTAATAGATTATGTTGTAAATGCAATTAGTTATGACATATTTGATTACTCATATCTTATTATCGTTAAGCAATTTGTAATCTTTTCATTACATATTTTTTTTCTTTGAATTTAAAATTTTCTATCCTAACGGTTATTGTATGTTTATTAGCATTATGTGTGATTTACATTACGTTACTTTTCTAGATAACAACAAATTTATTAGTACAAAAACTTTAATATAACTATGAATAAATGTAAATTATTTGCATATCTGTAAAATTATTTATATATTAATGTAAATCGAGTATAAATGTTAATGTAAATTAAGTATAAATTTATTCTGAACCCTTACCATACATTTTATATAGTTATTGAATCGTTTTTTTATCTTTATTTTGTTTGGGATGCCACCTCTTCATGTTCAACTTTTACGATCTACTAATGATATCAGATTAGCTAATATTGCTTGAAAACATAGATATCAACAAGCACAAGCTAAAACTAACAAACAGTGTAAAATTGGCTTACATTTTCAAGAAACAGCAATGGCTATTCGTTATGTTCTAGATTCTCCTCACATCTGTAATTATTGTATTGCTAAACTTTTTTCAAATAAAACAGAAGAAATATGTTGTTTGAGAGGAAAAGTCTAGTAAGTTTATTATGTATTTGCAAATTCTCAGAAAAATTTTATGTGTTATACTTATTTTATTGTATATGTAGATTAGTTTTATTCAAACCTATTCCATTTTTAAGAGATTTGTTCACTAGGTCTGATAACATAGAAAATGATTTTCATATTGATATTCATACTTATAACAATATTTTTGCCTTTACATCTATAGGAGTCAAATTAGACAAAAGTCTCGCCAATAGTAAAAATAAATTTTGACTTTAATAAATAATATATATTGAATATGATTTATTAATTAACTCATTATTAGGTAAAGATGGAGTATATATGTTTTGAGTACAAGGTAGTATATATGACTCAATTAGATCTCTCTTTCCAGATAATAAAATGCTAAAATTTTTGCAGTTGTATATTTATGATACTGAACATGAAGTAGATAATAGACTCACTATTATGCCTAAGCTCTGTCGTGATACTCTAGAGGTTATTAGATCAGTACTAAACCATTATAATCCTTTCGTTGCTGATTTTCATTCAATCACTTCCTGTGGCAATATTATTGACCTTCGACTACTTATCAGAGCTAACAATAGTTTAGACCAACGTACTTATAATGCGCCAACTGCTTCACAAGTTGCAGCTATATAGGTAAATAGTCATGAATCTATAAATGCTATGAAAAGAGATGTAATTGTAGAAACAAAAACTCAAAAATTACAATATGTTTCTGAACTAAGTAGTTCTTATAATCCAATGCAATATCCTTTCCTCTTTCTGCAAAGTAATTATAGTTAGCACTCTGGAATTTTACAAAATTCATCACAGAAAAAAGTAACCATCTAACAATATTATTCCTATAAGTAGGGTTCCTAGGTTCAGTTCAGGTTCAGTCTAGTTCAGATCAAATCTGAACTCGAACTGAACTCGAACAGTATAATTTTACTAATTTCAAACCCGAACTCAGACTCAAACTTAACATTCCTGAACCCGAACTAGACTCGAACACAGTTATAAGTTTGGTCCAGATTTAGTTCGAAGTTCACGAACATGTTCAGGTTCGAATATGAAATAATCAAAAAAAGGCTTTATAGTCTAAAGTTTAACGGACTCAATTCCTGAAAACTTTTCAGAAATTGAGTCTGATAAACTATAAACTGTACTATTATATAAATAGAGCCTCAA